AGACGTGCGTGTCCTTGCCTTCTTATTTCCATACCTGGGGAAATTAGTGGGGTTCATTTTAGAAACAATAAAGAAGACCAGAAAGGGTCAGGGATTGTGCCAAGATCACCCAGTGCCTCTGTATTATTCACCAAATGAAGGGCTCTACAGGAAATCAAAGGACTTCTAGCCCATGCTTTTATCAAAAAAAAAAAAAAAAAAAAAAAAAAAAAAAAAAAAAAAAAAAAAAAAAAAAAAAAAAAAAAGCAAAGTGCTTAGCAATAGGCATGGAATATATTTGACACAAAATGCAATTATGTAAAAATCCATTCCATGTGAATACAATGATTACAACCTTCAAAGTCATCAGCCTGTATAAATAGACTCATTCAGCCTAATGATAGATTGGTGGGTAGGTAGACAGCTATTAATGATAAAAATAAGAACTCAAAGATTCATTTCTGTGTTTTTCTCCTCATCCAATTTGTCAGCCAACAAAGTTTCGTCCCCCGTTCTGGTGTTCTCCTCTGCCCACTGCTCATGCACAGAAATAGTCGGTGTGTGTGCAGTGTGGTTCCATACACGTGTTTCAATGGCACTTGCAGCCCTGGGTCTCTCAGTCTGGAATTAGTGCCTGCAGATAGAGCAGCTCCCCAGGAGAGCTGTTTTGGTGCTGAATTTAGCACATGAGGGCAATTTCTCTAGGAGCCACTTATAATGCCAGGAAGCAAAGTTCCAACTCCAGTTCTGGAGGACATCAAAGGGCATGACAAGATGATGGAGAAGTTTCTTTTCTGAGCATGCATGTCTGCAGTTACCATGGCACAGCTGCCAACGGTTGCTGTTTTCTGGGGCCAGCCTATAAATGACTACTTCAGAGTCTCTGTGCGCTGCGCAAATGCTGCCCTTTCTGACATTGCTTCCATGAGGCAGTTTCTCTACAAGTTGCTACCACTGTTTCCTTTAACACTAAGAATACACTTTGTATTCCTCGTGGCATTAATGACATCTTGTCCTCATGCTGATTCAGATGTCATTCATCAAGTAAGTGATGTCACTAACTGACTCCAACTGTGGTATGGGATCATCTATAGAGAATGAAAAAGAAGTTCTTTCATTCAACAAATAGTATTTTAGACAAATATTAATTCATTTGGTAACTGAAATAAAACAATCTTTCTACCATAGAAGCTGATTTTCCTTAGTTCTTATAGTAAAGAAGCAAGTCCCAAAACTCTATGAAAAAAATACACAGAGTTCATGTTCTTTCTTAATAACTAGGGAGTAAGTGTCTAGTATGTTCCAAGCTATGTTTTAAAAGTTAAGCCACAAAAGTGAACAAGGTGAACTTCCTCCTTGTATTCTTGGAGTTTACTGTTGTCTTGGGGTCTCTATTGCTATGATGAAACACCATGACCAAAAACAAGTTGGGGAGGAAAGGGTTTGTTTGGCTTACATTTCCACATCATAGTCAATCATTGGAGGAAGTCAGGACAGAAATTCAAACACGGCAGGAACCTGGAAGCAGGAACTAATGCAGAGGCTATGGAGGAATTCTGCTTACTGGCTTGCTTCCCCTGGCTTACTCAGCCTGCTTTATTATAGAACCCAGGACCAGCAGCCCAGTGATGACATCACTCACAATAGGCTGGGCTTTCCCCCATCAATCACTAATTTTAAAAATATCTTACATCCAGATCTTATGGAGACATTTTCTCAATTGAGATTCTTTGATTTCAGACTCTAACTGGCATCAAATGAGCCAGGACAACTGCCTAATGAGGACACAGACAAGTTCATTACAATTGTGTATGCCAGGAGGGACATGAGAGTCCATTGCGAAGGTGTCACACCCAGTCAGAGAAGGTTTCCCCCAGAAAAGAAGAGCAGCCTCAGCTGAGACCTGCAAGATAAGAGTGCATGCTCCTGTATGCAGGAGGTGAAGGAGAGCAGTGTGCTCTGGGCAGGAGGGTGTACATTGGGGAAAGATTCATGGCAAAGGAAGACCTAGGGCACACAGCAGTCATGGACAGGGCTGTGGGTCTTAGGCTTGGTGGTTTGAGCCTAAGACACAAAAAGCAGTGTTGAAAGCTAAAACTGCAGAGCTGCTTCACTCAGTCCAGGAGAAAGACCTGGGTTCTTCATACTACTTAAAAAACATATCTGAGTCAGGTGGTGGTGGCGCACACCTTTAATCCCAGCACTCTGGAGGCAGAGACAGGGGGATATCTGTGAGTTCAAGGCCAGCCCGGTCTACAGAGTTTCAGGATAGTCTCCAAAGCTACAGAGAAAACCTGTCTGGAGGGTGGGGAGTCTGTAATTTCCACCTGCTCAACATCCTCTCATTTCTGGTAAAAATTCATCAGTTTTCCTTTCAAAATCTACCCTGTCCATTCTTAACTTGGGTATCACATATGAGACATACCCTATCTTTTGATCTAAGAATGGGCACAAATTTCAGGCATAAATATAAGAGTTTTATGTCTCACTAACCACAGGGCCTAAGTCACGGACATGGATCTCTGAACTGCAGCCTGGAGCTGGTGATGGCTCCACGCAGGACTCATCCTGAAGCCACTGGAGAAGGAAGAGCGCCTCCCACTGGGTTAACTAGATAGTGCAGTGCCTAGAACGTGGGTGGTGCGGGTGACCATTTCCTCCACCACCCACTCAGTCAGTCATAATCAGTAACTGTGATGGCCTTGTGCTGCTATTAGCATCAGGAACACACAATAAAACCTAATTCTGCCCCATAGGTTTTTTAACATCAGGTGGTAAGGTAAATAAAGGAATATTGGCATTTTAGAAAAACCGTGCTGGTCCCACTGGAGAGAACGGTTCCAGAATTCCAGACCGCAGGTGAGGCGAGACTTCTAAGTCAACCAGTAATGTGTGGCTTAAACCAGCACAGGTGAAACTCAGGGACTGGTGGAAGGGAAGACTGACCTAGGGGTGCGTGTTCGATTCAGAGACAGTGAAGAGACAAATCAGCAGGGGGTTAGTTAGACTTACACAGTCCTGAACCGGGGACTGTGGCTGCTGAGGTCCCTGATCTTGAATTTTACTGGGAGAAGTGTGTTGGGTCATGGTGGGTTTGGCCGCCTTTGGGAAAGCTTGCTGGAAGAGCCTGAGGCGGTAACTACAAATCAGGAGCTCCCAAGAGAAGTCTGAGGAGACATGCATTTGTGGTGGGCCATGTTCATCTGTTTATGTGTTGCTTCTTTGCTGGAGGAGATTCTGTGGGCCTTCATTTAGGCAGTACCAACACCCAAGTCATAATTAAAATCTTGGCTATGAATGAGCCCATCAAAGATGAACACAGACTTCGAAATAACAGCCTAGGTGAGAAATGGAGAAGGAAGAGGCCATGAAGACTGACAGAATCTGAACGGCATGGAAGGAGATGACAGCAGAAAGATCAGTAAGTGAGCTTTACCCCATGGCAAGCCAAGGGCAACCTGGGCTACATGAGATCCTGTAGAGGGAGAGACAGGGAGAGAAAAGGCATAAGAGATCAAGTCCTGCACAAATTTGAAACTGTGTATCTCAGTTCCCTGGACTTAACGGAAGGGTCAGGTCAGGTAGAAAGCAGCAGACTATGTGATGTAGCTGTGGGCTTTCAATGGCTGGTTTGTTGATTAGTGGGTTGATATAAAATGGAAGACACTTAGGTGAATTATTAACTCAAAAATGGGAAACCAATTTTAAAACAGAGGCTGAAGAAGCAGAGAAATAAGGTACTGGGTATTGGATGTGGAGGTCCCTGCAGAGGCTGACGGGGATAGGAGGTCCAAGAGAGATTTTTTTCCAGGTCAAAAAGCACACCTTTAGCTGGGTGTGGTGCCAAATTCCTGTAGTTCCAGTGGCAGGAAGATAAGAAGTTCAAGGCCAGCCTGTGTAGTGAGCTGCAGGCAAGCCTGGGCTACCTAAGATCTTGTTTCAAACAACCAAAAGCCAAGAAGACCAGCAATAAATACAAAAGGCCTGACAAGGAGGAATGTATGCAGATGATGTAGATAATTTTGGGAGCTAGGCTAGGCAAGGTTGATAAGGAAATATGTGTGCAACAATTATGTTAAAGAAATCTATTTCGTACAACGTTTCTACTAAAACATCTTAGGAATTTCCCACCGTTCCCAGTGACAATTGGTTGATCAATGGTGATGAGTTTCAGGAAGCTAAGACACACCACACAGTCACTGATGGTAGGTAATTCCTAGTTTAGTCGAAACCACAGCCTGCTTTATTTTTTTGACTCAGCTAAATTTCATTCGAGTCATTTTAAGAACTTTCATTTTGTCTCTCTGTCCCTCAAATATCATTGGCAGTGAAGGTACTCGGTCCAAGCACTAATCACGAAAAATCGATGCTAAGACATCTATGACAAGGTGGTATAGAATCGCTACTTTTAGGGCATCTTTCTTGAAAGCAACCTTTGTTCCTAACAATAACATCCTGTAAGTGGGCCCATCTAGGAGAATCTTTCCAGATTGTTCCAGATTATCACAACGTGATGAGGCCTAATCGGTGAGAGGTGAGATGCACTCATAAGGAAAATGTCCATCCCCTTGAATGTGGATCAAGTCCAGAGCTGTGTGAGAAATGGTTCAGCAGGTGGGGAACTCACGCTAGGTGAGGAATCAATTACCGAGGAAGTTATCCGTCCCCGTGCAGTCACTTTCCAGCACATAAGCTGCGGCCTGGAGTGCCATATGGTTCATTGGGACCTGTGCCAGGACCCAAATCCAATCTCTCTTCTCCCAGCCCAGCGTTCGTTCCTCGTCTCATAACATCTGTTTCTCCTACCGAGCTGCAAACTCCACAGGGGCCATCACTCCTTTCACCTTGTTTACTTAGGTATTCCCAGCAGAGAGGTGAGAATTAAAACTACCTGGTGGTCAATAAGTTAACAGCACTCTAGTTAGATGACAGATGCTCCCTTGAGAGGTTGCGCGCAAAGTTGATGAGCAGAGCAGAGTCTCCACAGAAAGAAAGAAAATTAAAAAAAAAAAATCACCAACCTGTAAACACATGGTTTATGAACTCTGCAAACACCAGGAACTCTGGACACGACGTCAGGAGATGTAAACCTTGGGAACGGCAGCCACACAGGCACTGCTTGCTCAACGGATCTGTGCCAAGTCCTCGTTTGTCACAGTGTTGGCAGGCACCACCACGCCCCTAGTCATCTTATGGCTTGAGAACAGAAGTTTCCACGTTGTCTCTAAGTCAGCTGTAGCCGGCTCGAATCCTCCTTAAAATATTTAACAGGCTCTATCCTTTCCCCAAACACTGTAATTGCTGAGCCTCCTTTCATCTTCCCATAATCAAACTTGCCGAAATTTTTAGGAAAGTTGAAATTACATGCACGTTAGCCATGCATTCCATCCAGCAAGCGAAGGCCAGGGTACGTGGTCACTGTACAGAGTGAGGGTCAAAAGCAGCTCTAGCCACCACTGAATTTGAGGGGCTTTTGCCAACAGGAGCCTGTTCAGTTCTTCGTTTTGCTGAAACCATGTGCTGGCCAGAACGCCTTTCTTCTCTGGTTAAGACTAAATGCTTTTCAAATGAATCTGTTAGAAGGGTCTCAAGTGGGAATTATAGTCCCTCTTAGTTTTCTCCAGTATGGGTTTGGTTTGGGAGAGGTTGTTAGTGGTGAGAATAAGTACTTACATCTTTGCTCCTAAATCAGGAGCTGCTGCTGCTGCTGCTATATCCCATCATGACAGCCTGCTGTGACTCACAGCTGGCAGACACTGCAAACGGCCCTGCCACGTCAGCCACCCGGAACCTTTCTGCTTCAGCAACAGTTTCCCCACGGAATGATTTAGTAGTAACAGTAGTAACTCCTGAGGCTGGGAATATGATCTGATCACCTTATTGAGAAGGTCCCACTAAAAAGGGGCACTACTTGAAAGTATAGATAGTAACCACACAGCCTTCTGTATGTCTGATGGAAATTCCAGAAGAGACTAAGCATTATACTGGCTTTTTTGGCAATCATGACAGTAACTTAATAAGTGCCCTTCTCACAACTCTATCAAGATTAATGGTAGTTTTTCTTTTTTAAAGAAATTTATGAGTTAGGATAGGAAAAAATGGGAAAAGGTTTTGCTTATAAATAGGAGCATGGTAGAGTAAATTACTACAACTATGTTGTAAATCAAAACTAATAACAGTTGATAATTCAGAGCTGACACCATTTTTTGGCTCGTTAACAAGTGGAAAAATTATATCATCCCTTTCTCCACTTTATACATATCCATCATTATGAGTGATTATATGAAATTATATATTAGTTATGTGCACCTACATTGGTAAAGGGCGTAAGAGATACGAGGTGGCAGCAGCTAACCCTTCCTTTCTTTGAGAAAGTATGAAAGAGCGTTGGCAGAGTGGAAGTTGATGTTTTCAAAGCCTCAGATGAAACAGCATCTTTTATGTCCTGTTCATGCAAAACAGTCTTGAATAGTGTACGTGCTTAAAGGAAAGTCTCTGTAAGTTTACAAAGTGCTAACTCGATGTCTGAAAGCAGTGGGATGCCAAATGACTTCTATTTTACTGTATAATTTAAAGTGTGTTTCAGTTTTGCCCCCTCAGGGAAAACTATTTAGGTAATTAGGGGGGAAATACAAAGGTGTTTTTCCTATGTGAGAACCATTGACAAGTGGTAGCTTGACCGAACCCTTACGCTTCTGAGTCCTTTGCTGAATTTTAAGTAGATGGGGGAGGGGGGTTGCTGGTAGTGTTTATATGTTCTTTCTGTGTTCCAGATACACTCACAAATGCCAAAGATTTCATATACTTTTCTGGAATGGAAAAGTCACACCGGAAAGAATGGGAAACACCGGTCTAGTCCAGAACTCCCATAGCCCTTCCCTCCAGGAAGATTTTTGTCAGAAGTTGGTTATGTCCCCTTTGAGAGGTGACGAAGGAACCCCAGAGCACAGAGATACTGCTAACAGTGGTGTTCAGCCTGTGTTACCTCAGATAATGCTGCCACAAATGACTCAGAAATCATTTATGAACACGCCTATTACAAAACGGTGATTGGCAGGTGGTGAACTAATTCCTCCTCTATTTCAACAGCACAGCCAGAAATTGGATAATACAAGTTCCTACTGATAAATGACCAAGTAACCAACACATGTTCCACAACTAGAACACAGGAGAGGGCACTTCTTTTTATTCAAACAAAGGAGGGAGGAGTTGAGGGAGCAGAAAAACATGATCAAAATATACTGTATGGAAAAACTTAAATAGATAAAGAGAAGTACATGGATATATGTAAAATAGATGAATAGCAAATTCTAATGTGGAAAGTTTAGAAAATTCAAAATGTTCAATCATCATAAAGCTATGTATCTAAGACCCAGACATATCTTAATTTGGTAATTGTCTCCATCAGACTGTCCTGAGAACATATCTGTAGAGGCATCTCCGTGATTAATGATGTGAGAAGGCTCCGGCACTGTGGCGGTGCCCACCCCTCTGCCCACCCCCTGGCACTGTGGCGGTGCCCACCCCTCTGGCACTGACAGTGTCATGCCTCCGGCACTGTGACGGTGCCCACCCCTCCGGCACAGTGGCAATGCCACCCCTGCACAGCAACATTTGTTCTTCATAATAAAGTCAAATGAAGCTTGGTCTCAGGCTAGAGACCCTGGGTTTTACTGTGTGGACCTGGACAAGTTCTTTGGCCTTTCTGGACCTTCAGTTCTTCCCATCTGGAACAATGGAATACCTTAGAGATAATGGTCTGAATGTTTATCGCCCCCAAATTCATATGTTAAAATCTTGACATCCAACGTGATAATATGAGGACTTGGGGCTTTGGGAAGATGGTCATGACTTGAAGGTAGAACCTTCTTGAATGAGACTCATGTGATTTTAAAGGAAGCAGGTAGAAGATGAAGGGTCAGGGTGGGACACCACGTTCCCTTGGGCAGAAGCCTCAGGGAATGCTTCTCCCAGAAGGAGAGGTGTATCACGTGAGAGGTTTCCATGGCAAGACACAGGTGGAAGGGTCAAGACACGGTTACTGAGAGTGCCCATGTCTGGAAATGGGATGGGACACCGCCATGGCGGAGTGAGAAGTCCAGAGACGCTAACGGGAATTGTTTTGCAGCTACGGGTTGTGAAACAGCCCCTCAGAGAACAGAAAAGTGACTTAGCTACAGCCAAGAGTCAAGAGGTGGCAGAGGATCCCCTGGAGCTCTGGGTTTCCAAATTACCCAAGAATCCTGCTGCGTATGTCTATGTGACACATTCTGGGATTGGCTGCTCAAATGCAGGGATAAGTGATAACAGGGATTTATCAAGTCTGGCCAGGCCTCTAATCCCAGATGCCTGGGAGGTTGAGGTAGGAGGACAGAGAGTTCAAGACCTACCTGGGCTGCAGAGCAAGTTCAACACTTGCCTGGGTTGGGAATGTAACTTAGTGGTCACATCCCTTCCTGGTGTGTGCAAAGCTGAAGGTTCAGTCTCTCCAGTGAGACATTTGTCACGTCTGGGAGTTTCCCAGGTAAAGGCGTGAGAGTTGAGCCTGGACCCTGTACTCATGTTGGGAAGGGTGGATGCTGAGGTACGAGGGTGGTTCTGAGTACATGGTGGACTGGTAAGGCTGAAGAAAAAAATGGTTGAAGTTGGGGTTTAAAAGGAATCAGGACAGAAGTGAGGAGGCATAAATCAAATTGGGGTATCAGAAACTAACATTTCCAGTAGGGCTAATGCCTGCAGTCACCGTCTCTAGAATATAACTGTGACATTGTGTGGCTGAGTAGAAGGGGTTATTGGGAACTAAGGAGGTTAGGGAACTGAGAGGCCAAAATGTGACTTGAATTATCTGTATCAGAGGGTTTCCAAATCTGGCCACATCATTCAGTGATCTGGGAGTTAAACACTCCATGCCCTGGGGTTGGAGAAATGGTTGACTAGTTAGAAGTGGCTGCTCCTGCAGAGGATCCCGGTTCCATTCCCAGCACCCACATGGTGGTTTACAACTGTCTATTCCAATTTGCGGGATCTTTAGCCCTCTGCTGGTCTCCATGGCACCAGGCATGATGTGGTATATAGTCACAGATGCAGACAAAATATCCATAAATAATTTTTAAAAAAATTAAATTTAATAAATATGTGTCTTAGGGCAAGCAAGGTGTCCTAGCAGGTTAAGACTATTGTGGCCAGGCCTAAAAACCTATAGAACCCACATGGTGGAAAGAACAAGCCAACTTCATGTCTCCTGCTGCCCATTTGGGCACTGGAAACAGAGGAGGAGAGATAAGAAGAGTGATACAGAATGTTGACCACTGGCCTCTACAAGCTCCCACATATATGTATATACAGCCTAGTGCACACATACCTATAGCACACATACACAATAACACACACACACAGAGAACTGCATAGGGATCAGAAGCTGGGAGTTTTATACTTAGGTAATCACCAATAAAACATGGCAGAACTGGGACCATAGCCCTTCAGGGGACAGTAAAGAATCAGTTGTATTTAGAGCCTGCCTTTTGTAGCATCATATGCCACTTAATGGCAAGGATATGTCCTGAGAAGTGCTTCTCTGGGTGATGTTGCTAGCACGCTGACACCAAAGAGCAAACGTACTCAAACCTACATTGTAGAAGTCACTCTCTGCAGCCTCCTGCCACAGCCAGGCAACGTGGTAACCCTGAGATGCGTGGTATGAAGCTTCTGCTCATTGTTCACAGTCAAACCTTGGGTAAGTGGAAGGAGCACACTCTAAAATAACAGTAAGGACGATGTGTGGTGGAGTGATGACGTAAGCCAGAAGCACAGGCATCTGTTCTCTGCCTGTGTAACTCTATGTGCTGTACTTTATTTAGCTGACATCACAGCGGGCTTGTTTAAATCATCACCACCACAAACACGCGAGTGACGCATTGTACTGTAATGATGGTTCCATGTCCACAAAGGCCCTGCAGGAGCTTTTGACTCCATTACGTTACAGGAAAACTAAGGCATTTGTGGTTCACCGTTGGCTGGAAGGCCATTATGTGAAGCAGGGCTATATTTTATTTAGACTCTGAGGCAGCATGTTAATTTCCTGTGGCTTCCATAAACAAAGTAGCATAAACACAGAGGCTTCAAACTGTAAGAGTTGTTTTCTCGTTGTTCCAGAGCCAGAAGTTCCAAATCAAGTGCCCATCCTCCATGTCTTCTGGCTCCCAACCATACTGGCGGTTGCATCACTCCAATTTTTGCCTTTGTCTTTATGTGGCCATCTTCCCACTGTGAGTGTGTGTGTGTGTGTGTGTGTGTGTGTGTGTGTTGATTACTTTTCTCACCAATTGAACAAAACACCTAGCATGACACACAGATGGCCGCGCTCATGGTGGTGGGAACTCCTCATGTCTCTAGTAGTGGCTAACCAGGAAGCAGAGAAGGCTAGACAGGAAGCAAGGTTGGACCATACCCATCCAACTCTGTCCCTCTGGCCCCATCTTCATCAACTAGGCCCCACAACCCTCACAAAACAGTACCACCAACTGAGGCCTTCACACTAAAACATATGTGACTATAGAATCCATTTCTCATTCCAACCAAAACTGTGTAAATCTCTCTTTCCCTAGAATACCTAATCTTAACTGGAGTATATATACAAGTATATATGTTCAAATAATGTTATATTCAC